CTCCTCCAGGCTGCGTGTTGAAGTGTCCGTGGGCAAGATACTGAACCCCGAATTGCCCCTGGAGGCTGTTCCGTCAGTGTGCGAATGTTAGTTTCTGTTTGGGCACATGGGCTCAGTGTATGAATGTGTGTGATGTCATTTAGTGTGAATGCAGATGCATTGTAAAACTGCTTTGAGTGGTTAAAAAGACTAGAAAGGCACTATACAAATACAGAGCATTTACAAAGCATTACTTATTTACATTTATTAATCAGAGCATTCAAAATATATCATTCAAAATCAGCAGGGGAGGCACGTAGAAACAGCTATTTCTCTCTCTCTCTTTCTCTCTTTCCCATCCTTCACTTCCACATTTCGTCTCTTCTGTTGTGGGTCGCCGCTACAATGGATGAAAATGGAATTAGGCCTAAGTTCTATTTACAACCACGAAAAGTGAGCAGGCAAAGAAACCAAACTAAGTTACATGTTCTGACTTTCTATATATAGATCTCCTCCGCTCCATTTCAGTACTGTGGCGCCGCACCTATACACCCATAAGTAGCACAAAAGGAAGCACAACTTCTCATTATACATCCTTGTGGAGCAAAATGATAAATCAATCTACCTTGTATATTATCAATCTGTAATTTATTTTCTTTAAGCATTTAGCCTTTACTAACTAAGTTAGTCTATCTGTTGCTCTCCTCTTTAGCTTTGGCTACACAACATTGATTTAATACAGTCTATCTTTAAGACAGTCTATGTCTTAGTTATAATTATAGTTAAATAGTCAAAGTGGGAATTCAAACTGTTTGTCTTGGCTGACTCACAGAATGGCTACACAGTGGACTTTTTACACCAGCAAAAGCGACATCCCCTCTGGACATGGCCTGCCCTATGATGTTGTGACGTAGCTGGTGCAACCAGGTTACCTTTACATGGACAATTTTTATTCCAACCCCAAGCTCTTTAGGTTGCACAAAGAAAGATCTTTGCCCTGTAGCAGACCACTATGGTATTAACAATCAAGGCAATTTAAGAAAAGAAGAAGTGCTTACAAAAATTATAAATGGTTTAGTTGAGCAGGCGTGCCGTGTGAAAAGTTTTAGTTGCCCACTGAGCATATGAGATATATCCTCTGAGGGAGACCGGAATGAGCAGGAAAAAGTTCAAAACAAATTTTCAGGGCTGAGGGAGTTAGAGCTAAAGTTGCATTTGGGGAGACTAAAACTAGAGATTGAGGCAAAGGAAAGGGAGCAGGTAAGGCAGTAGGAGTGGGAGCGGGAAAAACTGAGGCTTGCACATGAACTTAAGGAGATTGTCAGGGGTAAATGTAAATGCTCTGTACTTGTATAGCGCCTTTCTAGTCTTTTCGACCACTCAAAGTGCTTTTACACTACATCTGCATTCACCATTCACACACTGAGCCTAAGTGCTCAAACAGAAACTAACATTCACACACATTCATACACTGGTGGAACAGCTGCCAAGGGTTCAGTATCTTGTTCATTTTTTGATCAAAATGATTGCTAGGGACAATTCAGTAGTGTAAATAGGTAGGGACAGTATCTCTACTATCCCTACCTATTTATATGCCCTTATTACAGTTTTTCTCACTCGCTTTAATATATTTCTCAGATCAGAATTGAAATTCTCAAAACTAATTGTTCAACCTCCACATCATCTTGTTACTTGTGCACATCATAAAAGCACAAACTGCAAATGACTTGACACACTGATGCAAATGATTATGTACAATTGTCTGCTGTTTCCTACATTATCAATTGCTTATGTCCTGCTGATCACAATGAATTATACCAGTCTCTGTTGAATAATCTTACCCCCCAAAACATCTAGGCTAAGTTCATTGCATTTGTCACTACATGCAAAATGGTTGAACATGTTATCAAAAATCAAAGTTAAAATACTTTATTCATATCCTTTGCCTACAAGTATATAGTTAAACGAAATGTTGTTTCTTAAGGACCATAAACAAAGTAAGAATAGACCACAACAACATCACAATAGCAACACTCATATCAATACTCAATACCAGTAAACAGTAACAATACACAGTCAGCAGTAATATATATAGACAGACATTCCAAACATGTCTATTAGAATTTCTTTGTAAATGTGTAAACCTGAATTGATGAAGATATCTGTTGTGATGTGGAAGAGAATCTGGGATACAAAAGACCGGAACGTCAGCCAAAGGGGTGTATCCCATGCAGCAGTCCTGTCTCTTTTAACAAATTACAGTACGAACAGTAAAAGCATAGCTGTGATTCCTGTTCTCTCTCCTGCAATGTATAACTTTGTACTGGTGAAAGTGATATATGCCATACAAAAAAAGTGCAGCCTTGTGCATTTTCAATCATTGTCATCAAAATCTTAGCCAAAATGTAGATTGTCTATATCTGTCTATCATATTTTCTACACATGTCTATTAGACTTTTTTTTGTAAATGTCTCCTTACTGTAACTGATAAAGATATCCATTGTGAACAGGAACATCAGCCTAAGGAGTGTTTCACATGCTTACATTTCTAATTTTGAAATTTCTTCCATTGTGCTATGCAGTGTTGTAAAATGGTCCTTTCTTTTTCTTTTCTGTATCAGTACGAACAGTAAAAACATAACTGTGAATCCTTTCTAATCTCTTGCAATGTATGTAACTTTATACTGTTGAAATTCATATGCCAGATTGAAAAAGTGCATTGTTATATTATATTATTGTTATAATATATTATATAAATTATATATGTTATATTGTTATATTGTTGTGCATTTTTAATCATTGTCATCAAAACGTAATGTTACAGTTTACTACAGAGTACACTGTTATATTGATAACATGACTAAACGTTTTGACTATCTTGTTCGTAAACAATGACACAAGGATTTGTCATTTTGATGCACTGTCATGTTCAGTGACATAAAGATTCGCTTTTGAGAGAAAGACTAAGGATTTTGAGCAAGTTACGGGCTTTTGCTGGAAATCCACTATGTTGTGTTGCTTGTTCGATATGTTTCGAGAAATGCACTCACCGTTTCGCAAATGTTAGGGATGATTTGAGAAATGTACCAAAGTGAGGGAGGAAAGCTGTAATAGGAGAGGAAGTTGCTATGAAGGCCCTGCATATGACCTTTTCCAGTAGCTCAGGCAGCTATCCCAATATGATTATCCCTAAAGCATATATGAACGTAATCTTTACAACATAAAGAATTATTGTGGCAGTAACACAGGAGCAGCCAGTTGTTGAATGAAGTAGGGTAAGCCTACATAAAGAGGGACACCTGTCACACACCAACAGGACAGTTTGCTTCTCAAAAATGACTGTTTCCTGAATAAATAACAACTGGTAGCCAACTGAGTAAAAGATCAGTTTCACAGCAACATTTTATTTAATAAATTCACCATGGGCTTCGATAGAAAACAAATAGTTACCATTTCAAATTAGAGAACAGAAATAATAAAGGGGAAAGTAAAGTATTTCTGCCGGCTTGTGAAAGGGCGATGCAGACTGCCTTCCAACACGCTCAGCAGCGGCAGAGTGTGCAGTTACTGGATTTCCGTTACATCAGTAGAACAACCAAACCTTAAACTGAAAAGGTATTGCCTGGTTTCCTTTGTTGTTGCATGTTGTTGCATGTTTTGCGTCTGCCCAGCTCATTAACATCTGGAAAAGCTCTCCTGTGTAACCTTGGGTGCAGCTTGGATAGCAGCTCATTTCGGCTAATGCAGCAAACTGCATAGTAGACACCAGACTAGCTGTAATGAAGGTATAAATGGTGACTGTAGCGAGTTAAGTTAAAAGTAGATTACACTTTTTTACTCATTTTTGTTACTTGTAACAAGTTACTACTCAGCTCTGAGAATAATAATAAGTCAGACAGAGACAGACAGACAGATAGATTCCAATTTGTACTAGAACCAATAATTCAAATATGGCAGTGAAATATGGGGGCCAAAACTTAATAATGAGTTTGACAAATGGGACAAAACAATCATAGACTCTTTCCTTAACGAGTTCTGTAAGAGCATCCTGCAGAGCTCGGCCAATACCCCCTCTTACTAAAAATACAGAAAAGATCAATTAAATTTTACAATCACTTAAAATCAGTTAACCCTCAGACATACCATCACAAAGCCCTAACATACCAGGAGCTAAAACCAGAGAAGAGTCCCCAGCAGCCAGCTGGTCCTGAGGCTCTCTGCAGTAACATCCACATTAAGTCTACATTATCAACAAGCAAAAAGAAAAATATATTGAATACTGGAAAGGAATGACCAAAACACAAAGTAAATTACAACAGACACAGACACAAGAGGACAGACTCTGCTCCCACTGTGACACAGGACAGGTAGAGACAGAGCTGAACTTTCTAACCTCATGCCCTAAGTATAAAACACTAACATTTCCCAAATATACCCTGAATTCTAATTTATATCAGACACATCAAACTCCCCTATTTACTGGGAGAAATAATTGCTGCAAAATATATCTCCTCATGCCACGAACTGAGGACAACTGAGGACAACTGAGGACAGAAATTTTACTAATTTTCAAATTATTATTATTTTGATTGTTTGATATTTTAGTAATTGTTTTGTTTTTAAATTTCATATTTGATACTGATTTTTTTAGTTGTTTTTTTAAAATTAATGAATGAATGAATTATTTTTGTCTATTAATTCACACACACACACACACACACACACGTTTACGGTTTTATCTATTTATTTAAATTTTTTATATATTATTATAATAACATTTTTTTTGTTTTATTTTATTTTTTCATATATTTTCATTATTTTTTTAACACACACTTACGCTTACTGTTTTATTTATTTACTTATTTAATGAAATGTATGAAATTAATTGTTCTTATGTAATTTCTATAGCTTTGGCAATATTGTTGTTATACATTCATGCCAATAAAGCTGATTTGAAGTAGATAGATAGATAGATAGATAGATAGATAGATAGATAGAGATAGAGAGATAAATCCGTACCTTTAGGCAGAGTATGTGTAGGGATAATGGTAGGCCAGGTAGCAGACGTCTTCATTGTGTTTGAAGGAGATGGTAAAGGTCAGAGTATAAAAGGTTGTTCTCCTTCTACCCCGAGCTGGACAAAAGTGATTTCTAGAGGGAAAAAACAAGACAATCTTTGTGTAGATTAAAGATCTCTGGCAGTGTTACTATCTATGCAAGTATTTTTCTCTTCTGACGTCACTTCTCATTCGAACAGTGTGAGAGCCTTTGTGAGCGCTTTGTCAATGAACTTTCTCTTTAGAAAGCTAGTTAGTTACAGATTGAGCCTCTGTAGGTGAATCAGTGTTAATGTTGCATCATCTTATATAATTCAGTTATGACTTGACATTGTAGTCATTCAGTGGTTTCCTGAAGAAGAGAACAAAACAAATTTTTCATTGAATCTGTGTATTTCATTCATACCTGAAATAACAAATTTCAGTTCCGCTCCTAACCCAGTGAGGTCTACCTTCCAGAGCTTCTCTTACTGAGTACAGCACAGGCTGCATTCCTGCAGTAAACAAACACACACACAGACACACACATTGATAGACAGTTAGCCACAGCGAATAGATGTGATGTCACAGCGGCCTATAACGCTGCAGTTGTGTGTTCACTCTGCTTTGCACTGGTGCTGGATGTGACTATATTCTATAGTATTATTCTTTAAACTATATAATTATAAATTTTCTTCTCTAATGTAAAAATTTATATAAAGAAATGTATTTATTTATTAATTTTAATTTTGTTGGGACATTTAACAAATGCCACAGACCAGAGTACCATACAGTACAGCACAAGCTAGTTTGCAGTGCATGTCCCTAGATATGCCTTTATACAAAGACACACAGAAATCTAAACACAACATACAAAACAGCACAAAACAAACAATTACACAATAAAATGGCCTTAAAGCTAAAAATAAAAAATTTTAGTAAGTAAGGACTTCCACACACAGATGCTTGTCAAAGCAAGAATTTACTAAAGGGCACCTTACAGTTTACCATAGGTGAACCTGTCAGAACTTAACATATCTAATTTCTTAAGAATATGCCAGTGGTGAGGTCAGCTTCCTGTCCAAATTTCGGCTTGATCATATACCATCATACGGCTTGAGTGTAGATGCTGGTTATGACCAACACCTGACAGTTGAATCGTGGAATGCATCAATCCTTTTGCAGCATAAAATGGTAGACAATCTCTAATGAGTCTAAATGTATGTATCTTTTTGCAACCACTCAATAATATAAAGTATGTTAAGCTTCCTGTAAAATCACTAAAGTATGGTGATGTTATAGTTATACTGTAGTGTTTATATAGCATTGCTATAGTATTTCCTATAGTGTTTCTTTGTTTTGTCAGGAATTTACTATAGTTAAACTGTGTTGTTTATACAGTGATATTGTAGTGTATTATGTTTTTTTTTCCGGATGCACTATAGAAAGTTACAGTAGTAAGTATACATTTACTATAACATCATCATAGTAGCATTATAGGAACATACTATAGTGTGTTCAAAAAACCAACCACAGACACACTATATAATATACTATAGTAATACTATTTAAAATAATACAGGAATACTACAAAGAGCTAGATACATAGTATTACTATTGAAAAACATAGGGATACTATAGCTAATACAATAGCACCACAGAAAAACACTATTGCATCACTATACAATTCTTACAATTCTCATAGTATCCTATAGTAATACTATGGTTAATTTTTTTAAGGGTGGTTGGTTTAAGGGTTGGCACACTTTTCACCCTGCTGTAATACATGTTAGAACAGAAAATGAAAGGTTAAGGTCTCTGCTATAAATAGATATTTTTATATTTACAAATGTCTCAAAAATGAGGGGATTCGTGATTAAAGTCATGTTGTGCATTTGACAGAATTAACACAATTATTTTCTGGCCCTAGTAAGATCACAGAAACAAAAATGTAGCTACAAATATTTGCTTTGTTAAGCAAAAATGTCATTGCTTTAGCAATAGTATATAGTACTGATTGATAGTAATTTATTTAAGTTGAATTCCGGATATATACCATAATTAATGCAAACTTAAACCCTAACGTCTTTTTTGTTATTTCTTTAGAGGAAGGGTGACTATTTCAGAGTTGTTGACCAGTTGTCCTTTCAGGACCTTAGAGCTGAAAACTTGAAACTAGTGTGAATTTGGGATACCTTGAGCAAACTTTGCATGCTTGCATGGTTGATGTGAAAGATGGGTAAGATACAAAGCGCTGTGAGATAACTGTTGTTGTGATTTGGCGCTATATAAATAAAATTGAACTGAATTGAATACATACCATGTAATTAAGTCCTGCCTTGGTCCTCCATTATGTTTCCTGTCACTCTCTGTCAATTATGGTTGACCTTCTAGCTAAGACACAAGTCTTTTTTTGTGCTGCATTTAGCCTTTGGGCTAGGTTAAAGAGCCACGGTTCCTATTGAATCAAACAGCATCAGATCGCCAGAGGTAAAAATAGACTTTGTAGCCTGTCAGCACATTACAATCTTTCAGAAGAAAAAACATTTTCTTTACAATGGGATACAGACTATTTTAAAAGAGCAAGCCCTTCTTCTACTCCTTCACTTCTTCCTGAGATGAAACCAATTTCCTGAGGGACATTAAAAAGAGCTATTTTCCGGTACAAAGGGCATTATATGAATTTTGTGTAGTATGTGTGTATGAAAGAACTGCAATTGCTACTGGAGAAACTGAGTGTTTTGCAATCCTTTTGTCTGTGTGTGTATTTAGCTGTAATGGATGGTCTATTATGGTAGGACCCACTGCTGAGCCTGTAGAGCAGTCTTTGGGAAGGGAAAGTATAAGAGCAGCAAAAAGACAGCAAGAGGTCTGATTCATCAACCCCCATACTTTGTGTGTGTGTGTGTGTGTGTGTGTGTGTGTGTGACAGAAACTGAGCTCTGATAGAAGGGTCAGAGTGCAAAAGGCCTTATATATAAGAAAAGCCCACTGATAACTGATAGAGATTGAAGGGGATTGTTATTTGCTGCAGGCAATAAAACACACAGCCAGAGTCTGGTGAAAGCGGTGAATCCCATTTATAGTTTTTGTTGTTTCTAATCACGTCAGCATAAGGGGTATCAAATGGATATGTAGAAACCATGCCATTGAAAGAAGACTTGGACTAAGGTATGATAATAATGATGCACAATTTAATTTAATTTTGTAAATCCTGTCTGACTGACATCCTTGTATTTTAAAGTTTTATCTCTGAGGTTTTTCCTTCTGCTGAATTTTATCAGCTCAGTGTGAAATTTGACTTTTGAAAATGAAGGAAGTCAAAACTGTTGTTGCTAATCTGATCGATGCTAACATGCTAACCGCAACATAAATGTTTGGGAACCAATATAATCATAAAACATTAAAGCAATCAGCAAGACCCTGTATTCAGGTGCTGTTGTAATGTCAGCTACAAGCCAGTACTGTTTTCTCTTCACAGCCCAATTTCTTTGGCCTATATTTGCTAACATTTAGTCAAATTGCCCCCATTAAAATAACCTGAATTAGCTGTTAGTAGTTCATGTTTGCAAAGTACTCATGAACAAACAGGCAACTATCACTGGATGTCATTATGTGTTTTGAGTTATGAATCTGAGAAGTAGTTATTTTTGCCTGCCGTTCAGCTCACCAGCGCCCCCTGGGAAGGCTTTTGTCTATGTCTTTTGGCTTTATCCTGCTGAATGTCATTTCGCATTTTGTTAAAATGCCATCTTGAATAATGAGGAGTTGAAATGACTAGTAGGTACAAAAAGTTTTGAAATCCAGGCAGTAGATGACTTTAGCTGCAACGTATTCCTTTGCCATGGCGCTCGTATTGACGAGTGGCAAAGAGGCATGATGACAAACAGTGGGGAATAACGTTTGAGGGGGGCAGTGGTGTACTAGGGCCCTATTTTAACGATCTAAGACCATGGCGTAGAGCGTGTGGCGCTGTTGCGTTTGGGGAGTGTCCAACTCCAATTTTGCTAGTTTAACGGCGGAAAAATGGTCAGTGCGCCAGGCACAGGTTCAAAGGGTTGTACTTAGTCTGTGAGTCTCATCTCCCATTCCATTTAAAATGGGAAGGGAGGAAACTGAATTCAACTTTTAGCTTCTGAAATAATTTAGAACACTCCCATGGGTGCAGAGATAGGCGCAAGTGCATTTGCTATTTAAACAACGTGGACGCTTGTAGAGATAAGCTTTGTGCTGGGTGCAATATTGGGTAGGTAGTCTCTTGTCCTGCTATGAGGCATTGTCGCGGTTAAAAAATGTACATTAACCTTTCAAATGAAGAGCGCCCTGCTTTTTTCAACTAACTGCAGATATACTTTGATAATAATAATCTCCTTGAACATTTCCAGTCTGGCTTTCAACCCAAACATAGCACTGAAACTGCCCTTGTTAAGATTACCAACAACCTCCCCCGCAGGTGATTCTGGTCTACTGTCTAATCCTCCATCCTCCTGAACCTGGCCGTAGCCTTTGATACAGTATCCCATCACCTCCTCATTAACCATTTGGCTAACATTGGCTTTGGGGCCACAGGATGTGGTTTGCCTCCAACCTTGCAGACAGGACACATTTTGTACAAATTCAGATAACCGTCAGAAAGCTCCAGAGTTCACCACAGAGTACCACATGGTTTAGTGTTGGGGCCACTTCTGTATATTATTTACCTACTCACTCTTGGCAATATCTTCCGACACTATGGTATCCATTTTCATTTTTATGCTATCCACTATGTCTCTATGATATACAGATACACTACTAAGACTGAGCTACTGCTCTCAAAATAAAATCTGTTCACTCCCCAAAGCTAAAGCCATCTCCACACAGGTTAAGAGCCTTGGTGTCATCCTGGACAGTACCCTTTCTTTCTCATGTTTTTAACAATGTATCCCAGATTACCTTTTTCCATCTGTGAAACATCTTACGATTACACCCTGCTTTACTTAACACTCCACAACAGTCTTAGTCAGTGCTTTGGTCACATCACGTATTGACGACTTCAATGCGATCCTGGCAGGCATCCCCAATAAACGTATTTACTGACTTCAACTCATCCAGAGCTCTGCAGCACGGATCATCACAACGCTCAATGTAGTGTTGTAGTTCTTCAAGCCCGGTCTTGGTCTCGAACCAGTCTTAAGACCACTTTATATGGTCTTGGTCTCGTCTTGGACTCGACTGCATTTGTACTCGGTCTTGTCTCGGCCTCGGACATTGAGGACTTGAGATTTTATTTCAAGACCAGTCAAGACCAAAACTTTGGGAATATCAATAATTGATTTTGCATTGTCTGAGTTATTTGTTAACATCCTAACTTTGATTAATGTAAAACTTATTGCAAAATCTGTTAACGACTTTCACCCCTCCCCACGATGGTAAGCGTGGAAAAAGAGTGTTGAATAAAGAAGTTGATTTCAGCTCTTAGTGTTTGTATGTGGGTGTTTTAATGGAATGTGGATCTTTCAGATCAATTTGAGAAGTACCTATGATCTCGTTCACATTTTATTGTGTGTCATGTAATGTGGGGAACTGGTCTTGGTCTTGACTCGGTCTCGCCGTCCTTCGGTTTTGGTATCTAATTGGTCTCAGTCTCTAACAGTCTTGGTCTTGTCTCGGTCTTGATAAACCTGGTCTTGGTCTTGACTTCGGTTTTGGCAGTCTTGACTACAACACTAGCTCAAAGTCCATAGAACATTTATTATTGATGCTATGTTTCCTCTGATGTTATGTTTTCTTATTGTTGCTTGTTGTTTATTATATGTTTCTTGAATGTTTTTTATTACTGATCTTATATGATTAAATGTATTATTCTTTAGTTATATCTATAGTTCCGCCAGCTTCACTGAAGTGTGAGCATACACTGGGGTGGTTTGCAGGTACTGTGCATTCTTTCACAATACTTTCCCCATAAAGCTCTGCAAGTCCATACTTAATTCTGAACTTGTCAGTTAGAACACTGATGTTCACCATGTTTCCAAATTGGTGAATATTAAAGTATGTGTAAGTTGTCATTTGAAATTAAATGTGTACAAGCAGTACCAAGTGAAATTAATTAATTAGTTAATAGAAAAATGTCACTTTGAATGAGTATACAACGTTTGCAAAGGATGTCATTAATACTGTTTACACACACACACACACACACGCGCGCGCGCACACGCACGCACGCACACACACATAACCATACTCACCATAGTTGAACTGGCTGTTGCTCTTCTCACAGTTGATGACATTAAAACGGTAGGGGACGTCTGCCACCATGTTACTGACTTCAATGTAAACCACTGGGTGTGCTGGGAACAGTTAGCATCCGCATTTAATATGAGGTCATATTCATATCTGCAAAAGAAAGGAAAAAAGACATTGCTGCTGGCGTTCTGAGTTACCTACAACTTATTTTCTCCGTTAAGGACTGTGTTAACTAATGTCACATTTGCTTCACAATTCACTTCTTTGACCTTGTGCTCATAGTGTGTGTCCATTGTTCCATACCTGCGGACCTGAATAGCCTTCCTTAGTTCCCATTCAACTTAGAGAAAAACTTCAAGCATCAGAAGGACACTGAAGACTGACAGACAGAAGAGAGGACCAAAGACAGAGATGATCAAATTAATTTTAGGGCATATAATTTAATTGTCATTTGAACACAAAAAATGCCATGAAATCATAAAAAAAATAATCCCAATTTAAACCTTATCTTGTAAAATAAATTGCTTAATAAATGGTTGTGCTGTGTTGGTTGTTCTATATTTGTTGTTTACCTACCTGCCATCTTCCAGGTCAAAAACTACCTGGTTGATGATGTCATCAGTTTTCAGGAAACGTGGATATCTTCAAACACTTTCTGCCTGATGAAGACAAGCATATGTAGCATATAAATATTAACACTGAGTATAAAGTATCCTCTTTATGGTGAAGCCGTAAGTGGTAAACCTCCTGGAGTCTACACACTGGTGGCGATGGAGAATGCTGATGATTTGGATGTGATCACAGTTTATTCTTGTAAGCTTGAGCTTACTGACTGGAGGTGAATGTTCAACTCACTTGGCAAAGTGCTTCCTGATGTTGCCTCCACAAATAGTCAGGTCAATTATTTAAACTCTGTGTTTTCTTAACCCTCCTAAGAGCCCCCTGAAGAATAGACGAAACTCAAAGACTACAAAGCAGCCCCGGTTAATGATAGTATCAGAATCTGCAAATGGAAATGCAGAAAAGCAGATGTAAATAATCAGGTCTCAAGGTCCACTTTGCATCTATGAAAGAGCTACTATTCCTTTACAACAGGAGGGTGAAAGATGCAAGAGCATGCTATTTGTCAAATCTAATTTTCGCTCATCAGCGCAACCCCATATTCCTTTTTAGACTGTTGATCCTAGTAAACCCAGCCTCTCCCTGTCCCCCCTGCTGAATGTGATGCTGATTGTGAGACATTTTTATTACACTTTGTAGTTGGAATTGTTAATATCCAGCTTTTAGCCCTAACCCTGTCTTTTCAGATATCGTCGGATTAAAAGATCACAGTGTTTCTTGAAAAAGTGGGTGAGCATTGTACATTGCTGATGAGGCAGCAGTCCCATGAAACACATAGTATCCAAATCTGAGCACAACATATCCCCAGAAACCAAACAACTGTAAACGAAATCCACAGTCCAAAGAAAACTCTAAATGAAGTAAACAATATCCACACTATATCCAAGAAAAAACAGAAGATGGGAGATGGAAGACGGAAACACTTGAC